ACTTAAATATAACTATGTGTTTGATGAGAGAAGAGATTTTAGAACAGGAACAGTACTAAGGGGGTGTGTTCCTTCCATCTCGGCCACACCCCCACCAGTTGGAATATTAGTCACCAATGGAAAATCTGTGAATAAATTGAATTTCTATTATGTAATACTTTATTATTATTTGCATAACTTTAGAAATACAAATACGTGTATATATTATGTTATCTGATAGTAATTTCAAAATGTCCAGAGAATCTATTACAAACATTAGAATGAATTTTGTTTATCATAGAGAAGAAAATCATCTTAGCGAAATAATATGTAAGATAAGAATGTGTTTTTTCTCCCTTATATACAATTATAATTTAGTTATCCGATAGAGTAGTTCTGTACTTATTGAGTACATTCTATTCTACCCCCGCGTGTCATATGATAAGTACCATTTTGTTTGGATCACTAAATCGAAGATATGACGTAGTTCGAGCTAAAAATGAATGGATGAAATAAATAAACCATTCAGAATTTATCAATTGGTGTCGCTTTGATCGACTTTTCATAAGTTGATAAGTTAGTTTACAAAGGGAAAGGGAAGGAAGCTATAGTTATTATACCATTTGTTCTATTTGTTTATTTAGATTTTTAAACGAATAATACGAAATTTTTGCATTAAAATATATACATGTCTCGCAGTGTAAAAAGAATAAAACTAGAACCAACTGCACGTTCAAATGGAAATCGAAAAGAAGTCAAACATCCTCTATATTCAGGTCAATTTATGACATCAAGTATAGAGAATGATCCAGAAGTAAATTCATTATTTTTTATAAAAATATTATTTTATATGATAATATTTTTCTAGCCAATTGATGTACCATGCCCATCACCGATTCCCACTGCACAAGGTTTACCTTTTCTTAATGATGGACCACGAGGTGAACCAGAACGACGAACAGAAGCAAATGGTCAATTTAATAGTTTATATTCTTTTCTACGTGTTTTTAACAATGTATATAGGTAAAATTTTTTTAATTCTATACGAAATCTTATGTTACTTTTTATTTAGATCGAATTTAACATCACCAAAATGGAAAAATTTTCGTGGATCACGTATTGAATGTCAAGATAAAATTCGTTTAAATAATGTTATTTGGCGAACATGGCATCAACAATGTAATTTCAATTAAAAACTTTCTAATCTTAATGTTTATATAAATTTTATTCAGATATTTTAAATCGAAATACCGTTGTTTGTCAATTTGTTTCGCCATTAGATACAACTCAAACATTACCTGTATAATTATAGTTATATTCTAATGAAAATTATTTGTCTTTATTTTTAATAGACACCATTAACTCAACAATTTAAACAACAAATAATCAATAGTTTAAAGGGTGAATATATCAAATGGAGACAAAGTTCAAAAATCGCATTAAGAAAATTTGAAAATGATATAACGGTACTCGTTGTTGTTGTTTTTTATTTCTTCTAAAATTGAATATAAAATTTCAGAGTGAAGAAATGAAAAGTCTTTTGGGAAATGTTGGAGAAATTCATACACCAAAGATTAATCCAAATTTTCGTCGTATTGCAACACCACCACCTGAACCATATAATCTTTTTGAAGAATTTGATTTAATTGAAGATCAATTACTTTTTTCAACAACAAATATATTCAATGATAAAGATGGTGGTATGTCTAGTCTTAATATTTTGTTTTCGAATGGTGATAGTTAGTTTATTTTTATTTTATTTTTACTTAGACAATCCACTCTCAGGTAAATGCATATATATATATATACGTAGCTATCAATATATATTTATGTATATAAAACAGTACTTTTTGTTACTGTCTAATAAGATTAGTTTGTAAATGACTTGCGCGTATATAATTCTTATTTGTCAATGCTCATACGATTTATCGATATGTAGAAAACCCGAATTTCCATATATATATATATATATAAATATAGTCTAATTGCTTTTAATATTTCTTTATTTTTGTGGTTATGTGATACCAGCTTTATAACCTGTTGTTTTTTGTTTTGTATAAAACTGTTTGTTATTTAATACCTAGAAGAAAAAGTGTCCTATTGATAATCTTGATTAAATATTTATTTTTTCTAGGTCTTGGTGGAAATCCAGATCTATATCAACCTGTTATGGGACAATATCATTTTGATTTTAATTCTTTATTCGATGATTTCGAACAACAACCAATAAACCGTAAAAAAAAGAAGAAGACGAATTTTAAAATAATTGATCAACGGTTTTATTTGTATTTTAGATGATATGTTCAATATGAGATGTCATAATGATTCAGTAAGATATTTTTTTATATAAAATCTAATCGTGTAACATCTAGAATTGATATTAATCTGAAATATTATGTATTCTTGAGAGAGAGATGACAAGCACTGTTAGACAGACAGACACACCCACAATATGGAGAAGCCACACCCTTAGAACGGAAAAAAATTCAAATCAGATGTAAACTTAGAAAGGTTTAGTAGCTCTTTCCTTTTACTCTTATAGATCATTGAATCCAAAACTTAATGAAGATTATAGTGCTAATGAGAATGAGTCATATATTTTAAAATAAAATAAGACAATGTTGATAAATGACATATAGTATTAAAACATGAACGGACTACTACAACAGTAATTTTATAATTTACAGCTAGTGGCGGCGCCATGGGTGGGCTCAGCCTTCCCTGAAATTTTTTTCAAATTTAAAAAAAACCAATGGTATTCTATCTCAGCCCATCCTGTTTGAAGTTTATTAGGCCTGAGCCCACCCTAGTCAAGATTCCTGGCGCCGCCGCTATTTACAGCTATTGAGAAAAGTAATATAGATTAATTAATATATTTTATTTCTTTCGTTAGTTACCAACATTACAACATTATCAACCACAAACACCTTATACATTAAATCTATCAACACAAACACAACAAAATTTACATCATTTTCCAACATTAGTTTCTCCACCTAATGATCGATCAACTCTTTCAATTGTACATCAAAAAAATCTTCTAAATCAAAATAATTCTCATGTACATCTTTTATTTATTTTTCTACATTCGCATGTTCTTTTCCTATTGAATAGATAAATGTTAACAATTTAAATCAAATGAATATTTATAATAACAATCATTATGAACCATTAACACCACAAACACTTCCATTTGATACATATTCACCATCAACATTATCAAAACCAATTGGTAATGATAAAAATATTACTCAATTAATATCATCATCATCATCATCATCACCAACAAATATTATGATAAATACACCACAAACACCTTCAACTTATTTATCAACCATGATAAATAAATCATCTCCATCATCAACACTTGTCAATCTTCTTCATCAAAAACGTTCACCATTAATAGAACAATCTGTATCACCAAGTACTATATCAAAGGACAAACAAACTAAATCAGTTAGAAATACAAGAAAACCTGCACAGAAAAAAACGCAAACTAAACGATTAGGAACAGTAAATAGTAATAGTCATAGTCCTATTCAAGTAAATTTTAAAGCAAGATTTATTTTTTATAATTAAAAAAATTTGTCTCTCTATAACAGATGCCAAATCCAAATCAGACGATGTTAACTTTTCCATTAACTCGTAAGGCTAAAACACAACGTTCTGCATCTATTATTGGTTCGGCAGATATGCCTTTGAATATTCCACAAGAATATTCTACAGCATCATCTTTATTAACAAATAAACATAGTATATCAACACCTGAAAATATGTCATACTTAAATAATGATATGGTAATATTTTATTATATTTAAATATATATAGAAGATAGTATATTGACTTATTTTCTAGCTAATGGGAACATCTACATTATCAAACTCAAATGCTGAAAGTAAACGTCGTCGTAATATAAAAGTAAATCATTTCCTTTACAATAGAAAAACATGTCCGAATTTTTTTTTATAGAACGGTTTTGAAAGTCTTCGTACATTAATTCCTGAACTTAATGATCCAGTAAATGCAAAAATAAGCAAAGCTCAAATGCTTGAATGTAGTAAGTATTCTTTTTTCTTTTGTATTATTTTCGAACAATTATTATTTATCTTAGCTGCACATCATATTCAACGAGTTATTCAATTACGCGATAAAATGAAAGATGAAGTTGAATTATTACAACATGAACAAGAACAATTACAATATAAAATATCTCAATATCAAACAAGTTTACCTGTTGATGGTATTCCAACAGTATCAACAGCACGACGATCACGTGAAGCATCAAATGCTCTTTTTCGCGCATATATTGCTGATCGTACACGAAAAAATTGGCTTTTCTATCCATATTCACTTATACTTCAACGTATGTTTGATACATTTCAAAATACTGTTACATGTGAATCATCGGAAGATTTTATACGTTCATTAAATGAATGGAAAAATCATTCTCTTAGTCTTGGACAATTACGTCAATCAGCTACGCAAGCAGTAGTAGATATTGGACGAACAACATCATTAATTACAGGTAAATTATATTTAAGATTTTTTCAATATTATCTTTTTTTGTTATTTTAGCACCTGAACGTGCACCAGATGAATGTATTCGATTAGCAACTAATGATAATCAATGATCTATTTTTCGTCTTCGAAGATTTAATCTTTTTTTTACATCTCTTATTATTATTATTATTTATCTTTTTGATTACTTTAATGATTCGTTATTTTTGCTTCTCCGGTTTTTAGCTTAACGATTTTAATGTACAGTATTGAACAGGTGTTTTTAGTAGGTGAGAAATGTAAATGTATAGATTCGGATGTGATTTTTTTTTCTTGATAGAAGGTGAAAATAAAAAACGGTGGAAGAAACAGTATTAATAGTCTTGATTGATTTAGAAAAATAGTCTTGAGGAGATGAAAATACAGTTATTGTTTTTTATTAATGATTCATGTTAAGAAAGAAACAAAAATATAATATAAATATGGAATATTTTGATAACATATTTGAATAGTTTCTTTTTGTTTCATATGGAATTTAACCTTCGAATAGAACGTCGAACATCATGATAAATATAAAGTATTGTTAGAGTAAGAGCAGCAAGAGTAGGTAAAATATGAACAATACACTTGTAGTTACCATTACAAAATAATGTTTGTGTATCTGAACATTTTATCCATGAAACAAGTAAAATAACAAACGCAACAAAATAGATAAGACCTAATGCTGCATCAATTAATATAGATGTTTCACTTGTTCCATCATCTTGTTCAAATATTCGACTGAAGAAAACAAAACCATCTATTCCCAATGCAACCCACATAACTAAAAACATAATGAATATTTACTAATATGAATAAATTCACTATCTGATGTTGAATTAACATTCGCATGACCACCAAATGCATTTTGACCACAAGATAAAATATTAATATAAATAATACAAATCATAAGAATAATAAGTCGGCTAAGATGTAATAAACCTTTTTGATTTTTGACATAATTAATATTCATTGTGAATCTGTTTTTCCTTCTCTTAATTAAAACAAAAGAAAAAGTGCGCACTCCTATCAATTGATTTTCAATTGACAACCGATTATGTCGAGAAATTATTTCACACAACCATTTGGTATCATACATACTATTCGATTTATTTGTCTAATACTCTTATTAATCTTTGCTGAAATAAAACTTACTTCTTGCAATTCATATCTCAATGAATTTCTTGGTTTTAATCATCAATCCATCCTTTTCTATTATATATTAATCTGGATATCATTTTCATTTGAAATTTATTTTTTTATTAATCGTCTATTTGGTTCAAAATATCCTCAAGCTAAAAAATCTATCTTAATATTATATATCCTTCTATCCATTGCATTCCTTCTTGCATCTTGTTTTACATTATATGCAATTATTAATTCATCACATGGTCATGTTATAACTCAACATGATATTAATCCATCTGAAAAAATAATTCCTATTACACATGATTGTAATCTATTACGTTTAATTGGAATATTATTTGGTTTTATTATCAGTATTCTTTATTTTATTGCTATTATATTAATTTATCGTTTAAAAGATTAATAATTCCTATTTCTTTGATGTTATGTTTTCTTTTTTTTTTTCGTTGATTTTCAAATGACGAAACAAATATATTCAGATATATACAGATATACATACTGCATGAGATGATTGTAAAAAACAAAAACAAAAACAAAATCATTCTCAACTATTTTCTCTCGTTCTTTTTTTTTATTTCATAGAAATGAGTTCATTGATTAATTCATGTACTTGTGGTGAACGTGTCGATGAATGTGCATTATCTCGAAGTAAACAATCAATAAATGATAATGTCATTTCAAGTTTACCATAAGTTATTTCAAAAACGGTATATGTAGCAAATAATGTACATATTGCTGTTAAAAAATCATTTAATGGTCGATGAAATAATTGGACATAATCTAATTCAATATTATATGATAATGAAGAAGATTTGCCATCAAAAAATGCTCGAGCTGGATGATCTCCACGTATTATTGGCCATGGAGATTGTGAATCCTACAAAATATATATTTATTTTAGAATAAAATATTATTTTTCTTCTTACTTTATCCGACGAAATTAACAAAAATTGATATTCACCAAAATAACTAGCAACAATTAAAATAGCGAATGTATCGGCTACGACTAAAATAAATAAAGAAAAAGCATTCAGTTTCACGTTTTTGTATAAGAAAAATTCTGTGAATCGCATCCATCCCACTCTCGGAATGTTAAGTTAAAAATATTATTATAGATTACTTTGTTCTAATTGTGGTCGTTGTGAAAGAATAGTATGATATGAATGAAGAATTTCTGGTGCGCAACCAGTTTCTTTTGCAAGTCGTAATATGGGTTTTGATATTGAACGCAGTTTATGTATTAATACTGTTTGAATAGGTATATTTGTTTGCATATGAAAATCAGCGAGTAACTAAATAATAATAAAAAAGAAACAAAATTTTATATTAAAATTAATTTTTGGATAACACATACGCATGAATGTAATTGTAATGCAGGATATTCAGTAAGAATTTCATTTGTATTATGTGTTTTAACAAAAGTACGACGAATTTCAAATGTTTCTTTAAAATAATCTGATATAAGTGAGATATCTGGATCATCTGTTGTTGCTAATGTTTCTTGCATAGCTGTTATACAAGTTCGTAAACGATTTAATTCGTCTTCATCTATATCATCATTATTTTCACTTGTTTGATCCTTAACAAAAAGCAATTTTCGTTATATTTGTATTTAAAAAATGAAAGAAGTAAACATACAGTATCTTTTCCATTACCATTGATTGGCATTTCACCTGATTCATATTGTCCATCATCAGAATCAACTTCGAATTCATGTCGTGATCGTTTTTGTCCACCGGATGTTTGTGCTAATTTTTCTTCACCTAATTCTTCATCACCGGACATACGATCATAACCATTCTCAGCATTCATTGATTGTGCTGCATCAACATATGATGTTATTGTACGACGGCCACGTTTGAATTTACCTTTAATACCATCAATCCATGCACCCTTAAATAAAAAATGAATTGAAGAATTTTTTTGCAAATGAAATGACGACTTACCTCGCCGCCTTCTGTGGATGTTTCAAGAAATGGATAAGATTTAACAAGTGCTGAAGCAACTGTCTTATATTGACGAGCATTCGGATACCTAAAATAAACAGACATTTTCTAATCTAATAAATATAAATGTTTTTTTACATACCAAAGATTATACGATCGTGTGAGATCATCATAAATAGATGAGATTAATAAATTTCTATAATATGTACGTAATTTAAAGGCACTTGCATCTTGTGATGCTAATGCTAAACGGAGTGTTTCAGTAAATTGAGGTAATTTATATACATGAGGGAAGGTATGTTTTGTATCATTCTCATTTCCATCCATATTTGAATTTCCATTAGCTTGAGCACTAAAAAAGAAAAGTGATAATAAAATTAAATAATTCGATTTTTTTATCAAATGGAATACGTACTTAGTTAATTGATATGGGAAATTTTTTGGTTCACGTTTAAGAGTTTTCAATGGTAGTGCTGTTTTAGGAATTATTGAACGTTCAGAATATGTTACTTTCGATGGATGATGATGACCATTTGTAGCTGTTGGAGAATTTGAATTTGATGAATGACTATTACCATGATCAAAAGACGATGATGCTATAACATGTGCTGCTGCTATTTGCTGTGTTGTCGCAGCACGTCCATTTAGTAACGTAGAAGATGAAGGTAATGTTTTTTTTGAATTTAATTCAATTGTATGTCGTTGTTTAATTGTTTGTAATAAATCAAGAAATTGTACTTCAAGTTTTATAGTTGGAAATAACCGAGCAACCATTGATTCACTGAGTTTAAGTAATATTAATCCATCAATTTCATTGTCTAAAGAAATGAATTATTTTTAATGTATTATAAGAAATTATCTATACCTCGAAAGACTTTTTCGTATGCACCTAAATTTGATTCGTGAAGCCAAGCAATAACAGCATCGATATTCCATTGTGAAATAAATGATTTCTAAAAGTTAAAATTGAATAATAGAAAAGAAATCAATATCTAATGAAAAGAAATCTTACCGTAGACATTGATGCTGATTTAATTCGATGATTAATAGATAGTCAACATAAGAATGAATATACACAGCTCAAGTTTCTGAAAAATAATTTTAGATGTACAATCGTTTTGAATTTTTCCTGAAGAAGGAAAATACACGAGATAGACAGAAGATTTCTCGATGTATATATATGTATATATGTACAAAGCAATCCTTTCTGTCTTGGTGGTCTTATACCGATATGAGCGACGAACAAACGAACAAACGATATTTCTTCTTTCTTTTCCTTTCGTCCGTCCGTTTGTTACTGAGTCTAATCTTTTTTTCTGCTTCTATATATTGTCTAGTTGTTTGAGAAGAACAAAAAAAGGGCAAGAATATCTAAGATGGACATCGTCCATGTATATATATATACATACATATATATAACTTTTGGTTTAAAAAGAAAAACTTCTGCACATATTCTATTTCTCAAAACGTGCATTGTATATAAAATAATTCTGTCTTTCTTTCTTTCTTTCTTCTATTTACTATACACTACAGTCATGAAGAAGAGCACAGCGCGTATAAGTACGTTCTTTTTCTCGTTCGTTCGTTCTTTTTTCTACTCCCCTGCCAATTTTGTTTTGATCGACAATAGTTTATAGACAAGAAATGCATACATTTCATAAAACTGGGTCTTCAACAAAAAAAATAGACAGTGACATACGAATCTACATAGATTGATTGCTTTTTTAAGTGATGATTTTATGTAATTAATGAGAAACTTATTCACCTGTACAGTTGCCTCTAATCGACGTCAACAAGCCAACGCCCTATCTGTATTAAGTCGTTCTTATTTTTTTTCTTTTTTTGGTTTTGTATGACTTAGTTGTCAAAGTGGGTGTATATAGAGAAGATAAAGAAGAAAAAAAAGAAAGAAAGATACCCCGTAAAATCGCTCTTCTTTCTCTCGTTCTTTTTTTGCTGCTCCTTACTGTCGTTGTCATCCCGAAAACCTACTCGGCATCTTGGCTTTCCGGATCATGTAACATAAGTGTATGCAGATACATTCATATCGTGTGTAAAGTTCATCTCTCAGTTTCTCCTCGATATAATAACGACTGATAGTCTATCGAAAAACTCCGAAGCATGTGAGGTCTCTTTCGTGTTCTTCTATACCTTCCTAACTACTATGTATGTGTGTGTGTGTGCTTTAAGCCTTGGTGTTGGCAATGGCGGAGAGCGGTGATGAAAAAAAAAAAGGAGAACTCTCAACTCCATCGTCGACGACGAACAGAATCTTCTGGACGCCGCCGTCGAGCACGGCGTAAGAAAAATGAAGAGAAAGAATTTGTGTGATGGCAATGCATTGAATGCCTACTGCTGTAAAGGGATTCTTCGTCGATCACTTTCTCTCCCTGCCTGCCTCTCTCTCTCTCTGTTTCTGTGTTGCTGAAAGAGTATCAATGCATATAGAATATATAACAAGAAGAAAAAGAAGGAGAGTTCGTGGTTGAACCATTTGTTCGTTCGTCCATCTATTCTGTTTGTCCTCTGCAGTTCTCCTGCGGCGCGCCGTATATGTATATATATTTATTCTCTCTTTTTTCTCTTGTGAGTGTGCACGCACTCGTACTGTTAGTTGAAAGGTTGTTCAGAGGTCAATTTCGCATTCACACGTTCTTTTTCTTGTCCATTGGTCATTTGTACAGGATCAAAACTTTTTTAAGACAGATTAGACAAAGTGAACAATTATTAGTTTTAATCTACAGGTTTCCTGTTTTGACATATAAAGAGATCTATTATAATTAAAATTTTAAAGAGAGAAAAAAATTTGTTTTCAAAAAAAAAAATGATAAATTATCATGAATCGATGAGTATGTTTTTTTCTTTTTCTTTTTCGTCCTCTTCAATGCCAAATAACTTCACATGTCAACAGCTGTTTTCATATGAGAGAATGAAAGAAAAATGCATTAATAACAGACTTTTTTCCTTTCAGTGATGAGAGAAGTCAAAATATGTTTTGAAAAAATAATAAAAAAAGTTGTTGCATTAGTTATTAACATTATTGGATGAAGTGGTAAAAATAAAAATGAGAGAGAGAGAGAAGAAAATCGAGGATTGCTTAAGTGCTTTACCAGATCTTATGTCGAATGGAAATTATTGAAGTTTATTTATGAGATGAAGAAATTTTTCAGTAGCATAAAATATATTTTCTATTAAATTCTAATGGTTTATATCAATTTAATAGGAAACAGAACGTTTTATTAATTAAATTATAGACTTGATTCATGATATTTACAAGATGTGTAAACATTAATATAATCAATTATTTATTTGATAAGAAAAAAATGATTGATTTAAATACAGAAGTATTGCATTGAAAACTTCTATGTTGATTTTGTTTTGCCTAAATATTGTATTACATACATACATGTTCTTATCGAACGGTTTCGTACGATGAAGTATTCAAATTTTTTACAAAACATTTATACATTAAAAATTTTTCTTATCTCATCGATAAAATACAAACTCAATTCAAAGGTTATGACTTTTCATAAAATAATTGAAATCTATTCATTCGATCTGAGTAAAACATAAAATAATCGAATTGATTCAGATTTTCTAATATTTTATTTTGAATATTGATAAAAAAACCAAGAATCTGTATATCTATCTTCATCACCTCTATTCATATCGATACTTGCATATAGTTTCCAGCCAAATGTAGTAAAACAATCTAATAGAGATAACAGTTTTATTCGAGAATGTATTCCTTTATCTCCACTGCTTATCCACGGATTACCACGTCTATAAATATAAAAAGATTTCAAAGATTATTTGAAAAATGTAATGTATCATACAGTTTAAAATGATAAGCAGTACCACTATCACACCATTCTTCTCGTTGAATCGTTTCTTGACCAAGAGTTTGTTGTACTGCTGGAATTAATTCAGATGGAGCACAAATCAAATTTAGTTTATCATAATCATTGAATGACACAGAAAAAAATGATGTTGGTGATGGAGGTATTCCAAGTTCAAAAATTAATGAATCTTGATCGTATGGTTTTTTGGAAATATGGGTTGATGTTAATAGATACCATCCGTTATTATAAAGTGCTGAAAGAATATGAATCCTAGATAAAAAAAAAATATATCCCACAGATGAAAGAAAAAAAAACGTTTACATTAAAATACGTGATGGAACAGCATCATCTCCTTGACCCCACCAAGGACTACCATGTAGTTTGAATTCGTGAGCATCTTCATAATTTTCTTCTCTCTGTATGCCACGTAGCCAACTTTCAATGATAGCTTGACGAAGAATATTAATAACTGATCGTGGAAATCGGATAAATCGAAGACAATCACTCGAATTCAAAGAAATACAAGCATGCTGATGAAGAGAATATGCTGGAGGTGGTTCCGGATGATCCTTGCATTGTTCAAATGACATTATTTATGGTTGAACTTACAGAATATTGACAAATATATTATAATCACTTGATTTATTGATCTTAAAGTACTCAAAACTTTTTCAATCTTTAATATGTTAATTTACCTATAATATCTACTATTTCAAGCATTACAATTGTGGTGAAAAAGTCATTGAATGTAAAACAATAACACAAAAAAAATTTGTATTATATGCAAGTTCTTCAGTTTCCTCTTTTAAACGTCATAAAAATTATTTTTAAATCTTTTCTATATGTCAATAAATGAATTTTGTATTATATTCCATATATTTTGTATTCAATACCAGATAATTTCTTTATTATATATTAGGTATTTTTAGATTTCTACTAACAGCAAACTTTAGCAATTTCCAAAACTTCTCATTTTCCCTTACCAACAGCTAATAAACATCATACTAAAAAGACCTCTCCTTAATTAAGAAATTTCAAACATTTAAGGATAATTTCACATATATAATGTAAAATAAGATGCACATACCTTATAGTCACACTGTATAAAGAGCCACGAAAATATGGAAGTTTCGAGTAAATTTCATAAATATAATATATAATATTATATATATATCAGGGAGAAGTAGGGTAGAAAATGAGAAGAGAATATGGAAATTTCTAGTACATTTCATAAATATAATATATAATATTGTATCTATGGAAGAAAAAAGTAGGGTAGGAAATAAGAAGAAAATATGGAAATTAATAAGAAATTTCCTTGTAATTTCTATAAATATTCTTTTTTTTTACTGTTGGTATACGTCATATATACAAAGAATAGATGTTGGAGGAAATGGTCAGTATTTTTTGAAACTTACCTTTCTCGGAAATCTGAACACTGCTGAGCAAAGATAGTAGTTTTAGTCATGTAATCGCTGCATCTTCACCATTACTAATTCATGGATTACCACGTCTATAAATATGAAAAGTTTTCAAAGATTATCTAAAAAATGAAATGTGTCATACAGTTTAAATTGATAAGCAGTGCCACCATCACGCCATTTTTCGCGCTGGATCGTATCTTGACCAAAAGCTTGTTATACTGATGGAATTAATATAGATAGAGCACAAATTAAACGTAACTGATCATAATCATTGAATGATACAGAAAAAGATGATGTTAGTCTTGGAGGTATTCCAAGTTGAAAAACTAATGAATCTTTATCTAATGTTTTTTTAGAAATATGGGTTGATGTTAATAGATACCATCCATTATTATAAGGTGCTGATAGAACATAAATCCTAAAAACAAAAGACACATATTTCTTTTTCAAAGATACGGCATATTACATTAAGATTCATGATGAATCAGCTGCATCTCCTTGACCCCACCAAGGATTTCCTTGAAGTTTAATTTCATAAAAATGTGCTTCTTGTTTTTCTTTATTTAAACGATCGCTCATGTTTAATGAAACACTAACGTATGAAATAGTTATACTTGATTCTAGAATTAATTAAGAGTCAAAAAAGATTATTCATACCATCTTATTGAAAATACTTCTCCGAAAAGTTTTTTAAGTTATATTTTCTTCAACTAATGAACTGTACGAAGAGAAATACATTGAGCTTCAGTCATAATTAATTAGACAAGGAAGTCGTTTATAACTTAGTTTAGATGATTTGAAAACACATAACCAAGAAAAAATGAGAAGATCATCATCTTGACAAAAGTTTAGTTGTCAACGATTAAGGTATCTTTTTCTTTCTGTCGTATTTCATCTGCGTCATTTTTTTTCTTCAAATATCTCCCGTTTTCGTGAGTAAAACCAGATGATTGACATACATCCAATCGATAAATAAAAAAATTACTCTTGATTGTTCAAAATTCACAAGATATAAACTATTAACATTTATGGCTTATTTGTACAAATTCAAAATTAGATAATTCTTCCGCTCATCTATAATTAACAAATACATTTATATTTTTTAAAGATTAATCTTAATAAAGAAATTTTATTAAATGATATAATTTACATATTAGAATGGTCAGATGATCAATCAGTATACTCTATAAAAATTCACACACGTACACACTTCAACTATATGATAGTAAACAAGTTTTGGATTATGTTCACCTATTTAAAAAGCAATAATGTTCATTGATGAGATCTCTTATTGTATATATATATGTATGAAGATAAGAGAACAGCTTGACTCTGTCTAATGAAAGGAAGGTCAATGCTTTTTCGAGCGTCATCATCAATCGATAGTCAATATTGAAATTAGACGCGAAGAAAAAAAAAAGAGAAAGGATAATGACGGTACTGTTAGCCTTGTGATTGAAACAAAGACCGATTCGTACACATATTTAGAATATAGATTAGATGTAAATAAAGTATAGACAATGTCTGTCAACCTGTTTTTTTTTAAGTCTCATATGAAAAAAAAATAAAATTCTAATATGAATGATGAGTTCAATGTTAATTATCAACATAAAATACTTATTATCATGTTGTTATTTATCGAGTATAATTATTACGACTTAGACACGTGCATATACACGTCTACCAATTGATTGAATTTATATAAATTGAAGAATTTCAAATTATTGTATTACTGTCAAACGGTATATGAATAAGTAAAAGAAATGTTGGAATTGACTCCTTTGAAGGCAAGCAGGTACATGCCGATATCATGCAGTCTTCATCAGTCACAGCTGCTTGCACAATAAAAAGAGACAGGGACCTTGTTAAATTCTCATTATCGCGCTCTCTCTCTGCGTGTGAGTAATTGCTTGTCTCCAATGAATAAGTATGTTTGATCAAACTATAGGGTGTGTCGATCAACCCATCAAAATATTTTTAAATCATAACAGCACGACAATAAATCGGTTTTCAATGACATGCCAATAAAGCTTTCTATACATATATATATTTATACATATTTATACATACAATGTTTTTTTCTTCTTTATTTCTTTCATTATACTTATAAATGACCGGACATCTGCTAATCTGTTTTCTTCTTTCTCGACATAATCTAGTCCTATTTCTTTGTACACCAATTAGTAATAGTGCAAGAAAAAGCTTTGTCATTTAGAGTTACTAATTGAATGGTCTGAGAAAAGGGCTAAAGAAATGGTCAACTTATTTTACTATCGTCTCGCATCTCTAATACACGCAATGTAGATTATGCTCATTGCGGCATATAAGAGAAGGATAGACTAGCACGTATGTATATATATGCTCGATGTTGAAGACTAACCTTTAAAAGACAATAATATCAGAAAAAATATTAACATGCTATAGTTGGTATTAGCTAGTTAAAAATAAAATTAATGATCCATATCAATTGACTGTTCGTTCTTTTTTTTTTATAGAAACATACACAAAAAAAGAAAAAAAAGAAGGATTTGTTACATTAGACATAAGAAGCACAATGGTCTGTATTTGCCTGAGATCCATAAAGATTTTCAAAACGTTTTAAAACTCCATCGATATTATTATTTTCATTGAATCGAACATGTTTCGATGATAATTTAAAACTTGACAATGTAAGCGATGATGGATTAAGTAAAAGAATATTATTCGATTGTTCTGATGACATATCACTTGAACAATAACAACCATCATCTGATCCGATTTTCGTACCAACATCATTTGCTGATATCGGACTACTTGTTGTTGATGATGATTGAGGTATTTGTAAAGATATTTCATTATTATTTGAATTATTTCTATTATCAATAAATTCTGTTGATTGTTCCACTGGTAAATAATATGTATTTGGAAAGATATTAATAGCATCATAAACCGATGTTTGTTGAAAATCATTTGTTGAATTAATTGTTGCTGTTGATGAAAATTTTTTTTCTTTAAAATTTTCTTGTTTTCGTCGTTTAATTTTATAATTAATACAACATATTAAACATATTAATAAACAAAGAAATACAAAACAACTAGCTAATATACCAGCTAATAGAAACATATTCCTTGAATTTTGTTCATATTGAAACCATAATGAAGAATTTCGTGGCTCAGATTTTGTTGATGCTAATTGAATTTGTACTAATGTTGTTGATGATAAGGACGATGGTTTGCCATGATCACGTGCAACAACAATTATATCATAACGTTCATAAGTTTGTAATGTTTTAATCGATTCAATACGACCCGTACTTTCATTAATACGAAATAAATCTTGATAATTTGATAATGAATATGATATTCGACTATTTTCCGTATTTGGTTCATCACAATCAAATGCAGTTACAGTAAAACTTGTTTCATTCGATATAAATGTGACTTGATATGTTGTTTGATTAAATGTAGGTGTACAATCGTTAATATCAAGTATACGTATACGAATATTTTTTGAAATTTGTTCAAATGATGGAATAAGATGTTGAGCAATAATAGAAAAATCATAGAAATCTACACGTTCACGATCAAGTATTTGAGTATTGATTAATACATATGATATACCATTTGATTGAATTTTAAAATCTGAATTTGTTGTATTTAATATCCATTCATTTAATATTATATTTGTATCATTGATTAAATTAATAAATGCAATAAAACTACCAGAAACTTTGCCTTCACTTATTTCTATAGCTGAATCATGTAATGATTGATGAAAAAATTGTGGATAACGAATATCAAGTAATATTGATGATACAGAAGAAATAAGTAGGAAAAAGATGTATATTATTGTCATTTTCATCTAGAAGAAATAATACAACAATGATCATATATGATCAACATGTAGAGAATGAAAGAAAAAGGAGAATGTATTTTTTTCTTCTTCTTCTCTTTCTCGCTCTCACTCGTTCAATGATTGATTTATTTTTCTCAGCGAGAGAGCGAGAAAGAAAAGAAAGAGCAAAGAAGAAAAAAAACTGTAGAATGTCAAATGTTGAAACAATAGGACTTGATGGTTTTTTCTTTTCTTCTTCTGCTGCCTTTTCATCAATAGTTGACTAATTTATAAGATAGAAAAAAAATGTGTGTAAAGATATCGTAATCTTTTAATTCATCTAGGACTGTGCATGAATGGACAAACGAGTTTCTGATGATGATGATGGAAAAATCCTATTGTTAACGATTCTAACTACCATCTCATTTGATATGGTAGCTCTTGTTAATCATTTAATTGCTTTCCCTCTTATCCTCTAGTAAAGCTTTAGAGAAATGATGATAATAACTGAAACAATGCACGAATTCATATGTATATACACAAGAGGCTTTTGAGAATGCAAGAAAGAGACGTGTTTCATGTTAAGTTACCAACCGTAAATAATCTACTCGATAATATGACCGAGTGGATTGATATCGTTATGTGTGTCAACCTCATTAGATGTTCATAATTGGAAAAAAGAAAAACAAACTGAACGATGAAATTTGTGTCGGGAATGATGATAATTCCATTATCGTAGAGTAACAAATATATATAACAACAATTTTCTTCTTATGTAATTTTTCTTCGTGCATGAGATAAGCTTATTGAGTTGTATTTTATTCTAATACAAATGAGATTAGATATTCGTTTTTGAGCAATCTTCAAGCAAGAAAAAAAAACAGATAATTGATTTAGGGGCGTTTCTCCACCCATATGTACATATCGATTTCTTACTTTTTATTTTTTCTGGAGATTAATACGAAAGTTTGAATAGCGATTAGTATTGATAATGATAAAAAATTTTCTTAATTTTACACTTGACGATGTAAACAAAATGAATTGTTTACATTTAGTCATATCAATGGCGGTAGCTCGAGGTCATTGATCACATAAACTACGACCAACTATAGTTTTCATCAATAATAAACAATTTGTTTTTTTCTTCTTGTTTAATCTTCTATTTGAACATTCATATACGTACCCTTTTAATAGAGAGTGTGAAACTAATTTATAGAAGAAAATCTTTTCATTGTATTTGTCACATATAATATGCTCGAGGCGAGAAAACAAATTAACAGACCGCAACTTGTATACTACAAGTCGGCAAACATCAACATGAATGATTGAAGACATAATTTGAACATGCATGGGATTAAAAAAAAGAAAGGAAAATGAATAAACAATTCTCTCTTCTTTTTTTTTTAGACGACACTTTAATATATCGAAAAGACAGACGGGAAAATTTTCACATAACGAGATTGAACTTACATATTAAAAACTTTGTTTTAATTGTCTCTGTCATCATGCACGCGTCGAAAAGTATGATGTAATAATGGGTCGCTCGATTAGTCGAGTTCTAAGTACAAATGATATTCGACGCGTCACTTTTTCTCATCGGCTGTCGTCTGTCGTTTTCTTTTTTTCCTATAATCATTGCTTATGTTTCAAATTCACATCCAGGAAGTGCATTGACCCGAATGCGACAAGACGGTGGTAGTGGTGTTACCTCTCGCGTCATATAAAGAGAGTAACACAAAAGACATAAATGACCATTGCAATGAATTAATCATTTTTTAACATACAATGTACGTGCTTGTTCTCCTATATGTATGTATGTTTGTGTGTGTCATCAGGTCAAACGCAATAGATATAATCGTTCAATATATATCCATATCATTACAATAAACCACTAGTTATATCTCACGACTATATATCTCATTATCAAAAGATTGATAAAACTTTGATCTAATACTTTTTTCGAGAGACATATAAGCATCTTAAAAATTTAACGGAAATGAAAAAGGAAATATGCATAAGACGATAAAATAAGTGGACAAGTAATTAAGCGAAAAGAAATTGCAGGTATATGATGCAAGATGAAAGCACTTGAACTAATACAGTATATAAATAGATTATGCTTTTAACTTGCATAGAGTATTTGAAGAAACTGAACATATTAAAAAATAAATGACCGTGATCAAATGCTTTTCAATTTTTGTTTTATTCTCTATCACTATACTTTTGTCACACACTTGAAACACTCTCATAAATGATAATTTACTTTTTTTTTTCAATCAACTTTTTCGTCTTTAAACATACATTGTATATCAAACGAACAAAGTCTAATTAAGTTGACAAGAAAAAAGGTGCGACAAGTTTATATATACACTTACAGGAAATTATTGAAACATATTTCCGCGAACAAAATATATCAAACGATTGAGCGGCATCGGCGACGGTCAGAGTCAAGAGAGTCATTTCCATATGTAGATGAACTCTACTGTATGAATGTCGTTTTTTACAAGCTGGTGTACAATATGATTACGAAACAAACATATATCGTACATATTGTGTTGTTCTTCTATTAACTTATGTAGCTTACTAGTACAATTATATGCATCTAGTTATAACAACAGTGAATTAGGAAAGCGAGAGAAAAGCATTTGTCAATCATGAAGAAATATGTTCAAATATACTCTTTCTCTTTTTTCTGTCTTCTTCTTTTCCTATCTTCGTATTGTATTGTATTATATAATATAGATAGGAAAAAAAGATAATTTGTCCTCGGACACGACAGGTGGTCATCAGTTTTTTAAAGAATTATTTATATTTAAAAAGAAGCAGCTGCACTTAAAGATAATGATCATGATGTCATTTGTTCGTTTTTCTTTTTTTTTACAAGTTGTTATAAATGAATTTATCGAATAATAAGCACGTGCTATTGTCTTTTGATGTGATCCATCTCGTTATGGCATGTCTTCCGCTGCGTAAGTATCAAGTTAACTAATATAGAACTAACAATAATATAAACATTGGTACTACTTCACCTTGATAAGGAAATAAGTGTACGTTGTGGAACTGATTGATGGTCGATGATGAAATGCATTACTTGAGTAAAAGTGTATTGAAAAGGTATGAACACTCAATCACTATCGTCATGAATTGATATTCAATTTCTTTTCTCATATAATATATGACACACAAAAAAAACACTTACATGGCTTTTAGACGATTATATAGTTTATTTAAATAACACGTTATATGATTATTCCATAAAATATAATAAATTTTAAATAAATATAATTCAACTATTGTTCATTGAGTAAACGAAAAAAGTGAGATTATGAAGTGCTAAATTTGAATATTTGACACTTAAAATATAATCAGATTAAAAGGAACATACATATTATTTATATACAGAACACGTAGTATATGTTATATTAACAAGTTGTGGCATAACCTTGGTATGTGTATTTGACAAAACTATTTCTTTTTATTATGTTTTATAGCAGGAAGAGTTTGTTTTACTTGAAAATTACTTGTGTCAATGTCAATACAACCTGCAGAGAAACAAATGTCCATAAATCATTTAGCTCAAACAATTATGGATGACATAATTGAAAGTGTAACTATTTGTTCTGTTATAAAGAGTAACTATTTTCTCTTACGAATGCCACATTTGACGTGCATTACATGAGAAAAAAAAATTCCAATATTTCTTCTATATGAACTATATTAATTCAGTTTTATATATGTTCTTTGAAATAATATATTGTATCAATAATACGTTTAAATACTATGCATGTGTCATTTGATTATCAAATAGTTTCTATTATATATTATAAAGATGACATTGATTTCAATCTTCTGTACCAGAAAAAAAATGTTTTAAACTTGGTCTTTTTTTCAAAGGAAGAGTTTAGTAGTGCATATCACAAATATAATATTACATACAGATTTTGTGTTTCTTCCTATCGATTCTAGTCGTAAACTTACAATTTTTTTCTTCATTACAATTCCGATGTGAATTGTAGTAAAAAATGTTATTCGATACTTTATATTAACGAAAAATAAAGCATTACTGATATATTCAACACTAATTCTATATTATCAAAAACTCGTCATAGCAGTAAAGTTCGTTGATGGTGGCATTGAATACAATGAAACATTCATACACATGTGAAAGATTTAGCATTCACAAAAATTCTTTCAAGAAAATCATATTATATACAACCGTTATTATTATTTGATGATAAAAATAAAGTTATTAAAGTAAAATTTTATATCTGATAAAATGAAATTAAATGTAAAACTATAGTTGAGAAATATTGTATTCACAAGTTTTGGTTTGAATTCGTAAGTGAATGATCTCACTATTCCATATTTTCATCATTTTTAATATGTAACAGATATGATCTTGTATTTATTTGTCTATGCTCATTATATCTCTATTAATAATTAACGAATATGATCGAGTAGATAAAACAGAAACTATTGTTTGAAATTTTAATTTAAAATCATTCATATTCAATTTTTGTTATATTTTATCAGATTATTATCTTTGTCTACAGTGTATATTACTGTTAGAATTTCTCTAAGAAAAATAAAAACATGTGCCATTGACTAACAGTGCACAACATATCTTTTTTGTATATTTTCATTCTTCAAATAAAAGAACAACAAAAAGACGGTGCGAATATGCTTTCAATTTAAATTATTTATTTTACATTAATAGACATGATCCAAGCCTAAACTCAATGTCCAAGTTAGCAAAACAATTTAGTTTCTGTGCATACGTCTATACATTATTCTTTGGATATGTTCGTCTTTTAATCGCAAACAAATATTTTATTTTGGCTCTTACTGCAACAGTGTCATATCGTCTAATATCAAAGTCCACTTCATCATATATGCATTTTCTCTTTTTCGCACTTATCGCTTTTCATTTCTAAATATTTTGTCTTGACTATGTGTAATCTTTCGATGATAAACACGTAGTTAGAAAAAAAACAACAAAATAAAGAGTGGGAGAAAAGAAATCTAAAATGTTATCATTTTTCAAAGACAACAAACGAATCATTCCGTGAAAGAAAACAACGATAACACGTACAAATTGAAAACTTTAATCAAAAGTTATACTAGCATTACAGTTTTGTTGATTCATTTAAATTTAATTATTTGTCTTTGGTGAGTAGTTTGTTAAAATGTTTTTAACGACCGATCTACTTGAGAAACACAAATTTCATTGTATTGAGTTTCGCAGTAGGATTTCAGAAACAGCGAAAAGTTGTGCTGCTGTTGGATGTTTACTATATTAAAACTGAACTATTAGATATTGCCTAAAGTTCAGTTTTGCTTTGAGTGAATATTCAACAAAAACATAACCTTTAGCAATTGCCGAGAGTCAACTGTGATGGTCAGTATTGCAAAATTTGCGTTATTTATTTATTCTAGCTTATTTTCTAGAGGAGTAATGCTGACCGGCTCGTCCGCTATTTTTGTAGAAATAGTAAAATAATTGCGAATGCTAGAAAACTAACTTTTTGATAGACAAAATCTTAGTACAGAACTTATCTTGCTACAAAACGAATTCAAGCATCAAATTAAGTCCAGACATATGACATTCACGTAGAAAGTTTCTTCCAAATCATGGGGAGACGTCGAGAAAACTACCCAATCTGATCGATCATTAGTGAGACATAATTGTATTGTGTACCAACTTCCACAGAATCTGTATGACACAATCACTTACACGACGTCAGCATATAAGCAGAAACTAATGAGTACTTTGTAACTGTTTTGTAAATAAGTTGCTTTAGTAAGAAAGAAAGATCCGTAAGACATTTTTGTTATGTAATAATCCCATTAGTGGCAATAGTATTCTACATTTTTCTATTGAAAACTAATCTAAGAGCTGACATATTGTTCTAGAATTATCATATTTTTTCTCATGACATCCACAAACGACGTTGGACTTGAATCAGATCGTGTTCAAAATCAGTCCGGAACCATTTCGGAAGATTTATGCTGTTCGATCTGTCAGAATATCCTATGGAAGCCAGTTGCCTGTCGAACGTGCGAAACTCACTTTTGTTCGGCATGTATTCAGAAATGGCTCAGTAATGCGAACAGTACATGTCCATTGGGATGTAACCCATATAGGGAAAGACCATGTTCTAAATTTGTTAATACGCCGTTGAGCAGATTACAGGTTACCTGCATCTATGAAGCAAATGGTTGTCGTGAGGTTAGTTGTTCTATTAAAAGAACTATCCTGTCGACATATTGATTTAGATTCTTCCATATGAGGCGGTCGAAAAACATGAAACACAATGTGAATACCGACTTCATCAATGCCCTGGTTGCCGTTCATCATTTTCTAAGAACGAGATCGAGACACACATATCCCGCTGTGAGTTGATTAAATTTACTTGTGCTGACTGCAAAATTGTCTGCAAGCGACGTGATGTATCTCAAAGACATACCGAAATGATATGTGTTAGAGAACAATTCCGACAATATAGGTGTCAATCAGAAGAAACAATTAAACAGTTACGAGAAGAGTTGAAGAAACTTCGGGGTAAGTGTAGGCGTGGATGTGGATGTGGTTATAATATGTGTCTATTAACCATATCCACATGTACACACCCTATTTAATTCTTTGAATGTTATTATTTCGACTGTCAATACCTATTGTATAAACTAGTGATTTCATGAACTCGAGTTTTTCAAAAAAGATTAGTAAAACCCCACTGAGAACGAATTCATTCTAGAAAAAGTAGTGTTTGAGTGTGTGTGTGCGGGAGGGGGGGGGGAGAGGGGAAGGGGATATAGAATCCACACACCACACCCACACCCTCAAGAATATAGATTATAATATCTATACAGTTAAGTTATTTTCATGTGTATGTATCTTGAGGGTGTTCGTAAAATTGAAGTAGACCACCTATAATCACGTTAGTGTATAAAGGAAACAATATCGGTTCTAGAGATGTCGAAGTGGAGTTGATCTTTCAGATAAAAAACTTTCAATACGAACTCCATACAACTAAAGTGTCAACATATAATAGAAGTAGTTCTGTATTGATAAGATCATATGATTATATCCCCATAATGAAAAGGAAACTTTTTGTAATTTTCAAATATTTGACGTATAATATCTGTAGATTTTTAAGTTTGATAGCGATGAATCCGCGTGACAGATCTAGGGATATTTACTTCCCTTTCTACATGCATCAATAATTCTTCTCCATGGTGTTTTATAGAAAGAAAATTGTCATTTGTATTTTTCACTTAGAAAAACAACAATTTGCTACACCTGGTTATGAGAGGGTTCGTTGTGGAGGTCGTCCTTGCATCAAGTGCAGTAAGTGCCGTGACTGGTATTTTACTGGGAATGCAGAAACTTGGAAATGGATCCGATATTGTGAAAATTGGACAAAAGAAGATTACAATCGTTGGCACGGTGATCGTGTTTATGATCGCTTCAAGCGTCGCGATGATGGTGGAACATGTCATACTGCTGCTACTGCTGGTTTTACTGCTAATCATGGTGTTACTACTGTTTGTTTATGCGAAAATAACATTATTGCTTGACTGATTGCTATGAATAAAAGTGGATGAATTGTTGTATTCAATTAGCATTGGTTTGAGCATTTATTGGTAGTTTTTACTGCTCATAAAGCGATGACATTTAGAGATTCTCGATCAGTATAAGGATTAGCAGTTTTTTAGTGGAGGACCGTGCATTATCAGTTTCTCGTGATGAAAGAGCGCTCTTCAGTCGGTGGCATGAGAATATTGGTTGAAAAGATAGTTGTTATATAAAATTATGATTAGTTGTGAGAAGATGGTGATCAGAAAGCATAAGTGTGATAATAATTTTTTTATGGAAATTGGACGGGTTGGTCAGCTTGGAAGAAGAAGAAGTTAGTAATGTTGGAGTGGTAGACTACCACAGCATTTTGGGTGATGTTAATGACAAAATGCGGTAGTTTTAGCCGCATTCTAGCGTGGATTTTTTTGTGGATAACAGAATTTTCTATGAAGCAGTTCTCCTTAATTCCAGTATAATAGTATTGAGTTAGAATGATCCTGATAGCTGATTCGTACAGAGATCTATGTACAAGTGGTACTGGGCAGACTGAAATGCGATCATGACGGCGTTTGTTATGATGATAAGATTTTCTTCAGTGTCATCCATGAACTAAAAGTTTATACTTCAATTTATAGAAAATGTGCGCGTATCATTGAATGGCGCCTCTTAAACTGTTGGTGAAACATATGAGAAGTGATGAGAACTACAATGACCCCCAATGAATATAAGCTATTCATGTACAATAAGAAATCCATCAAGTATGTAGTAGAGTGACGAACATCTTTCACAAATGTCTTATTGCAAAGATCAAGAGTTCATTAAACGCTCATATGTTCCCACATGTCATCACTTGCAAACGATTTTATCTGTTAGGATATTGATTACTTCATTGTTTCATAATCAAATAAGCTGTTTGTTTGATTTCTCATCAGGAGTTGAAATACATCTTTCACGCCTTGAACACTTGTTGCTGATCGTTGAATACCATTTTAGCACTGCATGATATTTGTTAACGGGATCTTTTTGTTTTGGAGATTCTTTTGTAATCCATTGTCGTCCAATTTATACTAAAAATATTTTATCTCTCGAATTTTTTTCAAATCGTAAAATATTTTCCGATTTGTTGGAACTATCTCAATAATCATTTAATGTTCAAAAACTTTCTGATATCATTGCTCGTATTCTTATTTTGTCCTCGGATTCTTCATCGACTTTTATGATACATTAATGTCATTTCTTTTTCAGAGATGTTCCGTATTGAACTCCAGCCATTACTAATTAAATAAGATGTTGAAAAGTGTCTAATAATAGATTTCATCTATATATTGTCGATGATCGTCCTTCATTATTAATGTATAATAGATACAATATTTCAAAAAGTCTCAGAACGATTTAGAAACTATTCTGATATGAAAAATAGAATATCCTAAAGTCATTTATCCGTTTTATCAATTATACATATATACAAATGGATATCATGTAGATGTATTAAAGTTAGATTTCTACAATTTCAATTCGTTCTGTACAAATGTTCAAAAAATATACATGGTTTTAGTTTTAATCATTTTTCTCATTTTAAAACAATTTCTTGATTATATCATTTGTTTACGTAGTTTTGGCAGACATTTTTTATAAATAGGCCTAAAGTTGTGTTAGTTCAGAAGAAGATTTATTTAGTTATATGATTTTCTTCTTTCATCTTACTCATCACCATTCGCCCCTTTTTTCGGAAACCAGAACTATCGAGTCTTAGTAAGAAAAACCGATCTTCATCTGACTCATACCTATCGAATCCTTTAAACAAAGAATAATCAAATTAAATTTTTCTCTTCTTTGATTCAACATTATCAGTAGAAAGATCAGAAAAATTATATTTATTATTAAATTGCTAAAACAACAACAACAACAATAAAATGACTAGGTTATCTGACATCACACAATTGAATAGAAAAAAAATGACATTCATAAAGGTGCTAAACGTGTTGTACTCAACATTTTTTGTTCATCTGTTATACCTGGCACAAAAATACATGTTGTCCATGTATTATTAATAAAAAAATGATGATCTAATAAAAATTTATATCCATCTTTTTGATAACCTGAACAAAGTGCATATAAATATTGATATTGTGTTTCTTCGGAAATAATTCGTCGACATGTTTGTAAAAGATAATGAGCAATTTTTTCATGTCGATAATTTTTTGTTATAAATAAATGTGTTATTAATGCTGATTGTCTTTCAGATGGATGAGAAGAAAAACAAATAAATCCAACAATATCTTGTTCAAGCATAACATCATTATCATCTTCAACTGTCGTCACAGCAACAAGTATACGTCGACGTGATAATTTTTCTGTATATTCAATATATGAATGTTGAAATGGTGCTTTTATTTTATGTTTTAAACTTGAAATACGATAAGAAAGAAATGACGTAATTAATATTGCCGGCATAAGACATGATACAATCAGGCGAGTAAAAATAAACATTGATATAATAATACAAAGAAGAAGTAGAATAAATGTAAATCGATTACGAAAACAAGCGCGAGATATTGGAACAAGAATTTCAATACGTTCTTCAGTACATAAACGTTGAATATCAAAACGATCAGAAAAAGAAAAATTACGTATATGAAAAGATGTACGACCAGATTTGGTTTTTAAAATAGGACTTTTGATTGTTGCAATAGGCTCCATATTTTTATTTAAATTGATAGAAATTAACCATGACTAGTTTAATTGATTTTGAAGATCATATCTAAAACTTAGAAATTGAATTAGATTTATGAAAGAAAAAAAAAAAGAATAGCATCTATGATATACACTGAATGAAAATGTATTTAATTTGAAGTTTTAGGTACAAGATCATTAAGTGAATAAACAGCTGAATTTAAAACATCAACAATCCGATTTAAAAATGAATAAAGTTTTTCACTTGTTTTTTCACGTTGTTGTTTTTGTTCTTCAAGTATAACACGAAGTGTTTCACGTGCTTGATGTGGTCGTAATTCATTTATTAAATGATGAATATTAATAAAAAGAAGTTCAATTTCATTTAATTTTTGTTCACGTAATGTTATATTGCCACTATCAGTACTTGGTGTTAATGTTGAACGTGAAACAATTTGTAATAGATCAAGATAATTTGTTAATATTGCAAAACATAATTTTTTTAGTTCACCTTTATAATCATCTGGACGTGTATAAACACGTTGAATTTGTTGAGCTGCTAATGGACGAATAATTGGTTCTGAATGATCAATACCATTAACAAAAAGACCAAATAAGTCATAAGGACCCTATAATAGAAAAACCGATTATAGAAAATAATTTATATTGAAGAAAATTATTACGTCGATGGGTGGTGGTGGTTGTAAGATTTTATTATTTTGACTAATATTATCATTACTAAATAATTCAATATAGCTCATTGGTGGCAATGGAAATGCACTGCTTAAGACTGGTGGTGGTTCCATAGATGAAATTCAATCTGAAATGAATGAGAGTAGTATTGTATCATTCTTTCATTGTCATTGTGTTCAACGAAGAATTTTCATTGGAAATTTCTTTTTTGTCGCTAATAATAGCGCCACAAGACATATCACTAGAAGTTTTCCTTTGGCTGTTATAAAGAATTCTAGATTGTTTTGACTGTTTTATCTGTATTAGAATGAAGAAATTACATTAAATAAACAAAAAAATGTACGGATTTATTATTCTTTAAGAATTCTTCAATAGAGACTAATTCCTTAATCAAGATATCGACACCATACTCCTGTATTATTTTCTTTTATTGTTAACTTTCGAATCTTTCATTAATTTCTATTCATTCCATTAAATAACGTGAAAGAATAATCAAGATAATTAGCTTCCGATTTTACTATTATTAATAACAAGTATAAACTTATTTATTTAACGCAATTTATATTCTTTCAACTTAATTCATTTGAAATCCTTACAGATATTCTTTCTTTATTGACAAATAAAGTAGTCTCACCCAAAATTAAACCATCGAGATACTTCTATAAATCTGAAGAAGTAAATAGTATCAAAAAACATTCATAATTACATCAACTAATTTCAATACAATCAGAGAAATCGATTAGATTTTTCATACGATAAAGTTAATAAATTATTTTTAA